GTCCACTGCTGCTGTAGGCTCGGCGCCCTTTGGCTCGACGTAATGCAGCTGCAGCTCGCACAGTAGGGAAACAGCATCAACTGCGAGAGACATCGATGTTTCTTCTATTACTGCTGGTTGACTGTCTAACTATGTAACGGTGATGGCGGCAGCCTCATAGATAGTAATATTAGCTGTGGTCATAGTAGAAGTAGTGCTACTGGCGCTAGGGTAACGAACAGTGACGCCACTGCTGATGTCTGGCCGTGACCACACTGATAGTGGATGGAACTGGTTGGGTCGCTATTGGTAGGTGGGCCTTCAGCCTGATGCCTCGCAAGTCATTCTACTTTAGCCTGGATCTTTCGAACCACTTTGAACTGCTGCTGCTGCTGCTGCAGTTGCTTTGAGCTATTACACAAAAGGGGAAAGGCGAAAAGAGGAAGGAGAAGAAGCAAAGCGGACTACAGGCGGATCCGTTGCAAGCTTTTCCTCGTCGTTCGTGCCTCCTCCCCCCTCCTTCCTTATTGTAGTTCCATATTATTTCCGCTTATCTCAGCACAGGAGTGAGGCCAAGGCGAAGTAGTAGAGGCATGACGACACAGGATAAGAAAGGAAGAGAATAAAGGAAACAGAAAAAAGAAGTACGAATTTACTTTTTCAAGACAGTCAGACGTACCCTTTGCACCCAGTATCTACACACATCCTAATGCGCGCGCACATCAATACATAAGGACGAAGCACACCAAAATACGCACCCATCCACACACAGGCTGTTATAGATACAATAGGAAGCAAAATGTCCAGTGATCACCGACCTAACCCGCACCTCGGAGGAACTGTCTTGCCAACAAGCTACTCAGTCAGCCAACCAGCAGACCAGTTTGGCACGCAGGCACATAGACAGGCCCTTCTTCTTCAGAATAAGCAGCAAGAAAGAAGAAACTGGCAGGAGTGCTAGTGAAAACGAAAGCGTTATATGAAAGAAAAAAGCGACAGATGATGAGAAAAATGGGATGGAAAAGTAGGACAGACGGAGAAAGATTGAAGAACAGACAACTATTGATTCTTCCCAACTATTTTATCGAACCGTATCACTGTAGCTTGAATGGCTCCTCCAGCTTTTTCGAGCGCTTGAAATTACGATAGTATCGAGTGGAAGCACACAGCAATCTGTGAAAAAAGAAAAAGCTAATTTAAAAGCGAAGTGCGTATGCCTTTTGTTATAGAATGCTCATAGAATTAGACTGCCGAATATATAAAGTTGATTTTTCTGCGTTAGGTACTAATCGCTCAGTAAACTTGCAACAACATTGATCAAAACTCCTACGACCAAGCCTAATGCTGGGGTCCAACAATACACCTGACAGTCATCCACAGATCGGACTCCAGCATCAGTTTTGGTCGTTTAAAATTTGACGAAACACACAGCTTTTGATGTAAACTTCTCCCTTCGGCGATCGTATGTTATATAACCGTATATGTGAGTGTGTTCGTGCATCATCTAGAGTCGTTGTCTCAAGCAATCTCGTTAAAACTAAGCTTTAAAATGGCGTGTAAATATATTTCATTTGGCAACGCTCAACTACCTATATAACGAAAGCCCATTTCGATGGGTCTGGGTAGGAGTGTCTTTATCATCTACCGCAGGGAACGGCTGTGGGCGGGTGCATAGAGAAGTGTAGACAAATAGTTCTAAATAACGATCTACACTAGTAAATACATTAACGTATTCAAACGAATCCTTCGTTTTAATAGACATTTCCAAACAATCATATAACGTACGATTATACAAGATAGAACAAGCATGATAAGTTGACGGTCATTTTCCTAATAGATTTCAGAGCGTTTGTTATTGACCCTCTCGTATGGCGATAACTGTTTTGGCGTATTTATGTTGGTAGTGTTCGCTCGTACTTTTACATCCAGCCCTACAATATTTTTAGCTAAAAACAAAGACAACGATCACAGTTTTCACGATAGAATTTAAGCTAACGATTACTCAATGTAGAAAAAGGTAAGTTTCATTCAATTACACACAAAACGTTTATGAAAGACGGTGTCTTTTCTTATCAGATGCAGGGTTTTGAGGATTTCCTTCCGCGTTCTTGTTATCAGGCTGGAGCCCGAATATTCATGCGCCGGTGTGTGCATCAGTATACAAATGCCAATTTCCATTCGATTTGTCTCTTTATTCGCAGTAGGCGTGTGGTTGATCCTTCCGCTTAGTATCGGCATGCTGACAAGCTTTCAGTGCATTTGTCGTGCACTATTAACTCGCCAGGGAGGCATAAAAAGAAGCTGTTGGTGGCGGAACAAAAGCAACCCGTCTTCTTACCGTCGTCGATAGAAAACAAAGATACAGATATATATATATATATATAGCAGTATATGTTTGAATCTGGCAGTAGTGAATTGTGTCGGCAGCAGAAAGATATTGGCGCGGAGGACGCGGTAACGTGAATAGTGGAAGCGCTGCCTTCGTCCTTTGCGGCTGACTTCTGCTTGCGTTCTGTACTCCTGCCGCTAGTGCTTCCATATACTGAAGTAGGCATCCAGCCAGCCAGTAGCCAAATTGCTACTGGCTTCAATACGCTAATAGGTAAGAGGGAGCCACCAGTGAGGTCGCTCTTGACGTTTGCTCCGAGGTTTTTGTTAGCCGAGACAGTTTCAGAGGTGAAGGCATTGAAAACATAGTAAAAAACAGGAAATCAATCGTCGACAAAAGTAAGCGAGATCCAACAGAGTCGTTCGTTGTAACAGTTCAGTGCCGACAGAATACAGTAAGAAGTCGCGTAGCAAAAAGGAGGAAATAGACGAAAAAGACGAAGTAGGAAAGCACGAAGAAGTGGCTCCATCTTCATCTTATTTTCCCCTTTCCCATGCGGGACCTACTTCAGTGGCCTCGCGTATCACATAAGTAAAGTCTCGACTTGCTTCGAAGCTACTTGGTCAGACGACGTCCTCATGAATTTCAATGTGCCGTCGCGAAAGTTCAACGGTTTGTAGTGTGCAAGCCCTTCACAGACGTTCCTTAGTAGCTGGACTATTGATTTTAGCGAAGGCACCGTAAAGACTCTGGGGCAATTTACCGTTACCACCAACAAGTTTTCATGCCTGGCATGATTTTCGCCTAAGTACGCGTAGTGCTGATTGTCTGCAAGCAAAAAATATTCAAGTTAGTTAGGCCGTTTGCTAAATTGCTAAAAATAGAACGGGTAACGGAAGCATTTAAAAGGACAAGCGATGGTACTAGCGGATATAGACCCTAATCACAGAATTAACATTTAGCCTAGACTTGAGGGTTTTCAATGCTACACGCTGGTTATTATGGAATCAATTGAAAGATCTCCATGCAATTATTGAAGTATACAAATGAAACTTTCAGCAGGTAACATTGTGAAAACTTGACACGTGACAGATCATTATACTTCTACCGTAATTATGCATTTCACAGAAAGATATCTCAAAAACAATTCGGAATACTATTACTTGTTTCCATAAAATTGACCTTGCAGCACCCCGATAATATCATTTGTATGGCATCACTTCAGTATGCCGTCTATCCTTGAGCCGGAAGTTTTTCGGGGTAAATTCGACCTGAATGATACCTAATCCCGGACGACAAACCTGTTGGAATCAAAGCTATTAATCCCAAATTGTCTGCTTCTCAAAAATGACTTTACTATGATCCTGAACCAGATGTACGTATGAGCATATTTATGATAAGAAATCAGAGCAATTGTAAGCGATGAAAGTGCTCGCTGATTTGTCTATGTAATTATTGATATAAAAATAATTTATTTCTATGGTAACTGGACGAAGTGTATTAAAAAATTTGCTCGAAAATCTTAAACAACGTGTGGAAAGGGATAAATTTTCACGTTTAAAACTCGTAGAGCTTGGAAGCTTCGACTGATTTCTTTAGTTTATGGAGGCTAAATCGGCGTCTTGTTAAGCCCTTGAAGTCTCCGTTGCTAAAATGACCCCACGCGTAAATATTGATAATTGCTCAATCATTTATAATAATCTATTACTAGATTTATTCATAATAATTTATTATAGATTATTGTATCTAATGATTCAAAAATCAGACTAAAAGTAGGCTTGATGTACCGTTCGATACGTTTCGTGGTATTTCTGGACCATGGTACGACATCCCGGTACAATTTGGGATCAAATGTATTAGGATCGTATGCTCACCTAGAAGAAGGCTGGTGACAAACTTTTAAAAAGAAATGGACAAGCGTAATATGATTACTGTTTAAACTAAGGAGCTGATAAGACCCTCAGGGGTAGCCTGCGGTTTCACACAGATCTTTGCAGATGGCGGATGCCTCCAAAAATACCTTTACAGAACAGAAAAGCCACAAGCGACTTGCGTGCAGTATGAAACGCTAGTATATGCAACGATGTGACACATACACGAGAGGGCGGCACGCTCTTAGAAGTGAAAACGGTGCAAGTTGAGACAAAACTGGGGAACGCACATCTAGGGCCGACCCGACCCGACCCAATGTTAGATAGGTATATGGTCTAAGATGAAATAAACTGGATGGCAATCCCCAAATATTTCACTAACATAATGAAACTGGTAAAAAAAAAAAAAACAGTGGAAAAAATGGAAACAGAAAACGTAACGTCTCCCAACTATACGTTGAACTATCTAGTATAAAAATAAGACCTTGCCCAGAACATAGAATGATATGAATGTAACTACATACTTTATCTAGAAACTTGTGGCCATACTAGTGGGCATACTAATAGCGTAAATATTTAAAAATGGGGCCTGATGTCTGTGCGCTAGATTGGTGATTATGATTTGGCTATATTCCGGGAGTCACATGTACCTTTAGCGCACTCTATGACGAGTAAAAGGAACCTAATCAAATGTAATCGTGTCTGGTGGGGAATTGATGACTATTTATCGCAGTATCGTTTTAAAAATGTATAATGCGACTACATAGTGCCAAGATATAATTACCCGGTACTTATTGGTTCCTATTGCTTTTATCTCACAGGCGATGACTTTCATCCAATCGTATCTTCACCACGGATCCACGTTCTTGAAAATGGTTCTCTGACTATACTATCTGTGGAACGGGCCGATCAGGGACAATACGTGTGCGAAGCTAGCAATGGGGTTGGTACCTCCGCTACCACAGCGCTTGCTCTGGCTGTCAAAGGTATGCTCGAATCGTAAACACACCTTGTTCTTCAGCCTCAATAAAATTTTTCTTCTGGATCTTTATTTCGCGCCTTCTGGATGAATAGAAATCTCTAATTGATCAGTTCGCCTAATCTGGCAGGGAATAGTAAGAAAAATGATCACCGATACGATGCTTACTGAACTCTTATTCTCGGGAGGAGAATTAGCGCGTTAGGCTTGATTTCCAACTGGGGCTCAGATTTTTTTCGTCAGAGTCTAGATTCTTAATACTAACCAGTGTAAGTATGATCATCTTTCCTACTCATATTCGTTTCTAAATGCGCCCTGTCGTGCCATATGCCCATTATCGCTGAGAAGCTTCAGTCCTTTTAGCAAATCCACAGAGCCTCAATTATTTTCTCCATGCGTGGCCCACTTTATCTAGTTTGGTCTTTTTAATTCAAAATATCTATATGTTCCCTAATCCCGTTCTGATGGAAATATCAGCACGTGATTAGATAAACAAGGCGCCTTCGGCCGAATGAAGTGATAGCTATGGCTGCAGGATATGATTGTTCATACTGGGTGTTTGTATTAGGCGCTTCGAACCACAATACGATAATGTTGCTCCAACTACTTTACGAAAAATTTCAGGAAATAATTTTTGTGGTCTAGCTTGAAAAGTTCGAATTGTTACGCCACGTAAGATAGACAAACAATTGCAACACAAAAACATTTCTATGTCGTTAGATTGAAAGATGTATTTCTTGTAAACCGTTAGGATCAAATATGGTATAGATGTTGTTGAATAGAAGAATTAAAAACTCATAGATCGTGCGTGAGCGTTTGCTCCTCAAAGATGCATTGTGTCTCGTCGTTAGCTTTTGAAGTTTTCCTCTGCGACATACATTAGAAATTTATTCTAAGCCACATAATCTGGTCTCAGTTCAGCAACAGAGCTATTTGCATGTAGTTTATTCTCAGCATCGGTTAGGTATCCGTTTTTATAAAAGATGTTAGTAAGATTTGTCCCGTATTCTGGGATAGCCAGCAGCATCTACGGAACAGGCTGATCAGAATACCCGATCGAATCAATCGTGAACATTACTACCTGATTTAATGATGCCAATAAATTAAAACGTATAGCTCTTTGGCCAGGATAAAAAGACTCGTATCATAATTTATTGACAGAACGCTTAAGATGAACGACGACGAGACTTTTGAGTGATTTGAATGTCACACTGTCAACGAGCCTTAGCTGTTGTTGTTCCGTTGGTGACAGTGACTGTAGTTGTCGTTGATTTCGGCATTATTGTCCTCTTCCTGCGTATCTTCGTATCCTCTTCGGTCGAACCGTGTGAGGGTCGTTTTACCGTGCTCTTTGAAGTCTTCTGTTCGTTGTTGTTGTCATCGCCGTCCTCATTGACGTTAGCGCTGCCGTCGTTCACTCGAGCGACTGCGACTGCGACTGCGAGTCGATTTTCTGCCCGTCGGATGATCTGTGCGGTTGCTGCTATTTCCTTACGTTTCCTCTTCCCAAAACGCAGTCAGCTTTTCCCACACCCCACCCTTCCACCGGGGCCATCCTCCCGCGCACACGGATGGTTGGACTCATCGTACGGCCGGTGCGGTGCGGCAAGCGACTTCCTCAGCCGAAACCTTCACAGCGGCCCTACTTGTCATGGGCCACAGCGGGCGGTTGAAAGGCAAGGCAAGGCAAGGCAAAGCAAGGGAAGCTGAAGTAAAGGGACCTTGAATGAGAACAAGGAAAAGACGGGTGTTGGCATTGGTGGTAGGCAGATTCCCCTTCCAACGCCCTCTACCCGGCCCGAACTACTTCATTCGGTTCAATTCCATCCTCCTTCGCTACTGCTGCTGTAAAGTCGCTATCTTCGTCTGCCCGTAGTTGTAGAATTGGATAAACGAGCGTACCATATATGTACTACTTCTACTTGTACTATATATAAATATATACTACTACTACTACAAATGCTGACCAGGGCTGTCGGCCGTGTCAGAGCTTAATAGACCTCTATTCTCTGGACAGCCGGTAGAAGTCCAAAAACTTTAGCTGTTCATCACTCGATATGAACCATTAACGAAATCGATTTGAGAAAAAACAAAACCCTGTTATAAGTCGATAAGTAATACCCACTCAAGACAAATGAAAATTAACTTGAAAGACCCTTATTACTTATCTTACTTTTTACATTTCACTAATTTTTATCCATTGTATCAAAATCATAGGCGGTCCCTTGCATGTCCTTTGGAAGAAAGGGCTAAACTCTTCTATTTATTCTATATAATTACATTAGGAGCATCCATTTATGTTCGAAAAACGCGCTTAGAGATGTAGATTCTGTAAAAAAAAAAAAAGTATATGTAATACGATCACGCTGAAGTTTCAAAAGCTAGCTATATCAAATGAAGTTTCCCTATGCGTGTATAATTCATTTTGAAGCTTTCTATAATTTCGAAATTAATTATTTATGAGTTTTAAATGTTTACATGACTAACACTGATAAATTTAGTAGTTAACGATATTTTGAAAACAACTGCTATTACAATCATGACAGAATCTTCTCCATCTGTCCAAAATTGAAACCCAAACCACAAAGCAAAAAGTTAATCTTTGTAAAATGATTGCGCCATTTTATATGAATAGTTATTGAATATTTCCTGTTACCCAAGACGGCTAATGGCAATACAGCCATTACGCAATGATGATCTCCAGCCCGCTGCTACGCAAACGTATACAGATGCCCCGCCGCGAGCCCAATTGATAGCAGTTTTTTTTTTATCTAGAGGGATCTGTCGCACCTCAAAAGCTCCCCTGGTTACAAATGCCCGAGTGGCTTGCTTCCCATGTAGGACAGCTTAAAACTTTTCAGCATCAAGAGCGCGTCCATCTCGGCAAATTTTCGCTGGGTCGAAGCTATTTCGTAGGCTATTGTTGATATATTAATACATTTGCATTTATTCCACTTAAGGTAATTTAAAGTACATCTATGTAAAACGCACCTTGAATTAAGGTGTGCTACCCCCTCTATGAAGGCCATTTTTCTTTGGAAAAACTGTTGTTTTTTCATTACCGAATATGCATCGATCGTGACCTACATACTCAATGAAGCAAAAAACATATATTCGTGACAGAAGAGAGAATCCGCATTGGACGCAAATATGTTTGTTAGACATTTTCGTTCGTTGTAATTGATTAACAATGCTAACAATGAATAAAAACGTAAAAATTAGGCCTATCTGACCTATTAATGCTTGGGCAGTAAATTTACCTTAATAATATTACGTTTACTAGCTTAGCTACAATAATATATAAGTGTAGCTATTTGTCTAACAGAGAGCTTGGCTATTTGTAGCTAAACCTAGGGTTTCGGGTGTACCATCCGTTGTGAAACTTAAAAAGGACTCGCAAGCACAGATCCAGTGCGAAGCAATAGGAGACTCGCCACTGGAACTTATCTGGAGCTTTAATGGAACTCTAATACGTCCAGAGCATGATGTTAGGTAAGTTGTGGGCTTTAAGAATTTGAAAATTATATTTGTCTATCTATGCATAATTTCTGTTTTTCTAGGTAGATTACGTCTCATTATGCACTGACTGCATTGATAGACATGTCAAAAAGGGTGCTTTTGTTTCCTTACTTATGAATTTGCTAAATAATCTAACTTTCTTTTTCTAATCCAAGGTTTTTCATATAAAATAATATCGGGTAAGTCTAACTTTTTTGTAATATTTACTTGTGTAATTAAACCACTAAAACGTTTTGCGACATACACGCAAAGACAGGGTTTGTTTTCGGCTTTGTTAGTAGACAGTGCCCTTTTTTTTTTTTTGCTAACCTACATGTAAAAACAGTGTTTTTTAGTGACAATTTATTTAAATAATCCATATGATGCTGTCTGATATCATGTAAAAAATTCAGATCGATCATCAGCACAAAACACTTTATTAATAAACCCTGATCCCTTGCGTGCCTATATAATAAATTAGCTTTTTGCTATCGTCTAAGGTACCGAAAAAATAAGAACCCTTAATTCAAATTTCTATGGGGAAAGATCTGGGCACTCAAAGAGCATGGCATGAGGAAGGCACCCAGCTACAGTTCAATGGGAAAAGAATACCTGCATTAATCTTTAGCACAAATGCTGTTCTGCACGCCCCATTTAATATGATGGGTGGAGCGGACCTTGTAGAAGGAATCGACGAGTGGAGGATCGTTGTGTAGTTCCTTTCCTGAAAACTGCGTCGTACATACATTTTGAAAAAATCTGTTTGGGAACTTTGTAATTAACGTTGTTAATAAAGTTTTGTTAACTAGTATTATTTGTATTAAACTATATGTAGGAGCTATATGTGGAATTGGCCAGCACTATTACTGAGTAACAGTGGCTACCCTAAAAATATAGATACGTGTCCTCCGAAGATACCACTACTGAATTTAAATGGTAAAATAAGAAACGAGTAAATAACAGAACTCGTGCGAGATGCAAGATTAATAACGAAGTGTTTTTTTAAACATCGGAGTAAACTGTGTTTTACTGCAATAGAAAGTATTTTAGTTCTGTTATCTAACCAACTAGAACATTTGGATGCAATAACATATCGTACGGGTCTCAGATTAAGTTTTCGTATGTATATATATATATATATATATTTCGTATATTAACTCGTATACATGACTCCTTCCACTTCCTCCAGCTATTCGATACGTTAATCAAATTGATAATAGAAAGCATTATCCACTAGTATCTGTTTTGAGCTGACAAAAACCAACATTACGTGCAACGGAACCCTTTTGTCGTGCAGTAGACGATACGGCACTTAAAGAAGATGATTAATCTTGTTTAAATTTAAGTATTTCAAAATCATCATACATCTGGCGTGCAACCATGTAAACATTGGTCTCCTTCTGTAAAAGATAAAGAAAAGGTGCACCTTAGTATTGCTTGGGAATATATCCTGCTTGTCATTGAGTCAATGTAAGAAAACAATAAGCCTTTAAAAATGTGTCATCGTATAGAATATTCCCTATTTATCGATTATCGACCGTTGCAGAGCTTTGAGTAATGCTGAAACTGAGGGAAATCGCATGATTTCCAAGCGGTTCCTGTTCCAGCAAAAAAAAAAAAAATTTAACTATTTTCTTTATGAAAATTGTATTAAAGGGCAATATTTTTGACACATTAAATGTTAACCCGATTTCAATATCCTGTTCCTGTTTCACCTTCTTAAATCTCTAAGCACGATTCGACATCATCATAAGTACATTTGACGAATGGATACAAATAACAGGTTCATAACCCAGCTATAAATTTTATAAGCACACAGTATAATATCACTTCCTTAAATTTATAAGAAAAAAACTCGAGTCTCCTTGTATAGATACATTTATCGTTAGACCGATGTTCAAAGGGTCATTTTCGACGCGTTATAAATAACGAAATTACAAACTCATAATGTATTTATCATGAAAAATGATTTGGTCGGGCTCTGCCAATTAAGCTCTACCACGCGTTATATGGCGTCACTGTCTGCAGCAAGATAATAAAGAGTATACAAAAAGCTTTATAATCGATCACAAGAGGTTTCTGTAGCCTTTGTTTATCACAGCCCCGCGTAGCTCGCGTCCTTCTGAAATCATTTGCTTTCAGTAACGACCTGCGTACTATTACAGGGAGAGAAAAAAGATCATAAAACGTCGTAAATAACAGGTCTACAGATAGAAACAGCAGGCAGATCACCGGTTCTGCATTCGCTCGTCGTTTTTCTTTTCCCATTCGTTCAAACAGAAGGCAGGCCTTTTTGTCGTTTCTATTTATTATGGCGGGCGGTTCGCTATGCTTAAGATACATGCAAGGCAAGACGCCTGCCAGGGCGCAGATGGGATACTCTCTTCGCGTTTGCAATAGTTTGCTAATAGTATGTAACATTTTCAAAATCACGATTTTTTCGGTATCCAGAAATAGAAACAATAACATTTGCAAAGCGCTATCAAAAGGCTATCACCAGTATCTACGTGAACGTCGCCAATTGACTAGCAGCAGTATTTATGTGGAAAGGTACGGAAGTTTGTCTTTGTTTTTTGTGTTTGTGACTGCGGTTTCACATATATAAAACGTACACTACACTGAACTACGTGCTTGGGAAACAAATGTTCTTTCTTTGTTTGTTTAGATTTTTTCTTAAATGAACGATTGACAACTTGGAATGTATCGTGCACATAAATAGCGAAGAGTCGTCGTCGTCGTCGTCTCTTAAATGCGTAAGTACAAACGTCAGTTAAATAACAAATTGTCTTGGAAAATCCATGTATCTATTATGACTATCCGTTTCGGGCCGTTCCATCACAAGCCGTCATTTTCGAGCTCTGTTTTATTCCATATAGGGAAATAGGCGACGTATTTAATTCGAAAGGCTGGGCTGAAATTCAGTTAGAGTTCTGCCTTCTAAGCAGAAGTCAAGCTTTGTCATTATAAAATTATACAGTAAACACTTGTAGGATAACCCAGAAAGAGCTTTTGCTAGAGAGTGCGCACTCTTTGAAAGGACCTGGCGTTTGGCTCCACTACGAGGACCGTCTCGTCGGAACGGCCTAATGTCGGGTTTTTAGCCTATTTGGAACCACAATAACCATAGCTGGCACACCTGTGCTAGAAGGATAAGTTAATTGCGGCTAAGTTTCTATATATATATATATATATCATGCTGTGATCTTTTAAATGCTAAATATACTACTCTTCCTGATTTTGTTGGTGACGAGTTTAAGAATGATATGACCTGTTGAAATTTATACAGTTCAATATAGTGTATTCTTGTCAACTCTTAATGCAGCTTAGTTGCATATCCAATGTATGGAACTGAGGAAGTCAAGGGTTTCGTCACGATGCTTATTATAAATGAAGCTGCAGTTCCTAAAGAAGGTGGCTGAACACATGAAGAAAATGAATGGTTTTTTCGGGTCACTGAAAAATATATCAGTAGTCGATTGAACTTATGACATGGTCATAGTTTTTGTTGTGGATTATTTCCAAGCTCAGGAAATAGTTATTTACAATAATATCTACCTCTAAGCATGGGATGCTGACAGACGCATGTGCCTTAGATTATGATTTCCTCATACTGTTCGGTCGTAATTAGAAGCTGATGTCGATGCTCCACAGCCGTTGGAATATACTCACCAACCTAGAGCGTCTTTTTTAGATTTTGTTCGTATTGCCTGTAAGTCCCTTAACGTAATTAGTATTGTATGTTAAACGCTAATGAATATACGCTGATTCCTACTAATTAGTTCTTTTCAATTTCGAGCACTATCAATATAGATACGCATCGAATTTTTAACCTTTGAAAAGCATATATTGATTAACTTACTGAGGTATAATTTTGGAATTTGAGCAAGTTGCTACAATTGTTAGGGTACTATATACCATAATCAATTTTATAGATAATTGTGTTTTGCTTAACTTAGATCATTAAAGTAGAGTTTCTAAATTATTTCACTGGCCGTATAGGCGGATTTCGTACAGCGTCGAGTTAATACGCTGTCGGGAGTTTTCGACATAGGGCCGTAGGGGTTTAAGCAAAAAAGTAACAAAAGCATGTATCTTAAAGGCATTCGCATCTACCTAGTTTCTTAGTATTCTAAGAATAGTACTGATTTTATAGGGACATGCTGCTTGTAGGGGGGAATCGGTGCCAGTTGTAGAGTGCATTTAGATAATTACGAGCGAACAGTGAAGGAGATTTGCATTCGGTTGCAGCCCGTAGGAGACCCAAATGACCTCTAAATAAAAGATTTAGAGGCCCGAATCCCATCTTAGGAAAGTCAGCTTATAGCCTAACCAGCAATGATGCTGGCTAGGCTATAAGACACTGCACGACCTTAGCAGACCTCCTAATTCGGAATTATATAAACTGGCTAATTATATCATTAACATTGAATGCGTGAAGCCCTGATATTCGCTAGTGATGACTGTTTCATAGTTGTGCCAACTATGACCTGGTGGTGTTTACGGGTAGATCTAGCAATGCTTAACTTGTTCCTTGACGCGGACACAAGTATTAGAAAAGTTTCGAATAACTATTTTTGATTTGCGTTCAAAGTTATTTTTTACACAAATACGTTTTAATCCGATCCTCTATCTAGTTACTACGGCGTTTGAAACGGCAACTACATTTAGAAGGACTCACGTCTGTACGTGTACTTTATGACGAGTAGATCCTCGTCCGACTTTTCTGTCGTCAACATATTCGTGGATGTAACAGGGACGTCCTCTCCTTAGAATAAAAGTAATTGTTCATCAAAAAATCCAATTGCATCGATTAAGGCAGTTGCTGTCAGCTTTGAAACCTACATCGTTCCTAAGTCAGAATCAGAATTTTATGGGTAATTGCAATAGAGTAAAATGAGATTTCTACCGCGTGCTATGACGTATAGAGAAACGGCGACTAATCCATGTGCACGGTTGAGTTGAGTAATAGAAGGAGTTTACGGTAACAGCGTTACTGATGAGCTTTTTACCGTCTTCTACGCTAGTAAGTGTTTCCTCTGCCAATGGAACCTTTAAGCTCTTATTTTCGTTTTGAATCGCTAAGTTTGACCCCTTTGGAAAGCGCCTCTTGACCTACCGTGAAGCCATCCAATGATATTTGATTAGTATATAAAATCTAGCAGATTTGCTTTTGTGTTTATTATATATGAAAACAACATTCGGAATTTTATATACTACGGCAGCTATTTACTACTCAGGTACTGAAAAAACATGATAAACGCTTCTCTAACTTGGATACGTTGGGTGGTACTAGAACACTTTTCCTTACTATCTACTGAACGCAGCCTAGATAGCGTTTGTGTAACTCAATATATAGTAGATACGTAAGTGTATTCCGACTTTTCCACTTCTGGAAGCTTCAGCTATCAACTAACTACCTGGAATAAACGATAAAGAGAAAGAGTTTGAAGTGCAAATCTTTGGAGGCGCTCCGGGCCTGAACCACGAAGTACACATACATTAAAAGCTAGGTATCTTGCTGTAAATAACATTTCCTGCTTTCAGAATTAGAATGGATGACCAGATGATGGCGACGGATAAACTGGTATCGACACTCCAAATAGATCAGGTTCGATCTTCCGATTCAGGGGTCATCGAGTGTACCGTGACCAATCCGTATGGGCGGGAGAGCATCCACACGCGACTCGTTGTTCAAGGTATCACTGAAAAGTTATTATCTAATCAAGTTTTATTAAAAAATTAATTATTATATGCATTAGCTACAACATTACCACATGTGTCGCACAAACAAAGCTAAATCATATTCCTATAGCGACAAATAGTTGCAGAAACTACTTTACAAAGTTGACTGATGAATCAATCAGGGAGGCGGTCAATAAATAATTTGTTTTTTTGCTCTCAGATAAGCCCTCACCGCCGACGAAGTTACGTATCATTGAAACAACTTCAACGTCCATTACCCTTCAATGGGAGACCCCTCCGGATGGCAACAGTCCGATTAAAAGCTATGTCATTACCTATCGTCAACAAGGTAATCCTCTCGGAAACTATACCTTAAACTACTAATACAGTGCAATGAAATGTTGGCCTCGGTTTTGTAAGCGTCATGTTTATAGTGGTTGTAGACTTGTCGATTGATAAATATCCGTGCATCGACGTGGGTGCTCATTTTGATCGAGGCGTTCCCTAGATAAGTAATGGGACAATCTTTAAACGGATTGCTAGTAGAGGGAGTTACTTATTGCGGGCTTTTTTGATTCACTCTGTATAATGAATCCATTTCATTGATGACTGCTACTTCCTCCCTGACTCAGCAGGATTCTTTAAGATCACAACAGGACTGTGGGCTGAATTGATTTTGTTGATGTTGATGACGGTGGCTGATCAAATAAACCTCATCCAAACAAATATAGTCAATGAGGGTTTGAGCGATCAGTATTCTAAATGCATTTGTCTTTTTCTGAAACGTAACTAACTGCAACTTCAATTTGCTAAATTGAATTTTTGTATCACTTGAACAAGATTCAAGCAAAGCAATTCATAGATAGATATTTAGGGCAACGTCGGTGCATTGTATAATGTTCGTTTTATGTAATTAGTCGAGAAGCTAAAATAGCAGGACTACGAAAACAACTGGATACCATATTATTTAGAGCGAGATAAGTTTCTTTCCGTCTGGTCTTAAGTTATGCTCTCAAATGTACGTATTGGAAACGTAAGCAAGTATTATTGTTAATTATTTGAAACTTGAAGTCACTCTCTTTGTTTCGATAACGGTATCGCCGGTAAACACTTGGATCAGACGCCTCGCTCGCAGCACGGGACGATCTCTGTCTATGACCTAGGCCATAACGTGCTCCTAAGATTCCTAAAAATCTACGGAGAGTCGATCGAGCTTACTAAATGAAGCAATTCCCGCGGGGGTATTACGGGGCGTCGATATTCATTTTATCATTAAGTGTCAAAAGCTATGATAAAAACCTCACTTAGCAGATAACACTTCAGGAGATATGTAATTATCTGATGAGAAATACTAGAGAGGCTATGTTACTATCTTACTTAGCTCGCATCAAACGACCGGAAAATAACTGAAAAAAAAAAAGAACTCATATCATCAAAGATTTCAGCTAGTTACATTTAGTTCCTCAATCATGAAATGAAATCGCTTTAGGCATACCTACTACAGTCAGCAAGCTAAAAATAGTCTGAAGACGTTAAATTAAAGCCCTGTTCTATCATCTGTCAAGTGCCCCAACCGCCAATGGGGGAAAAATGAGCAAAATGCCGAAAAAACAGATATCACTTACGGAAAATGACAACGTACTATTAATTATCGAGCCAATCAATTATCTAGACAGAACTGCAAACAGAGTCAAATTTTAGTTTAATATATAATTACATTACAGTAAGCGTCTGAAATAGCGACCGTTCATCATACCCTACGCCTAATACCGACGAAGTACGAGTAACACATGCTTTAAAAAATACTGAGCATTTCCAGCTAACGAAGGCTACTTTAGTAAAAGGAATTATTATAAACACAAACGAAAAAGTCAAAAAAGTTTTCTGGATCAGACACTTGACCTGACAAACCTTTGCCACGTTAGGGGATCGCAGGGTTTAAGCAATGGGCTGCCTAAGCGTATCGAATGATCGGCGACTTGCATGTTCCAATGGAGACATACGGAAATATCGAAGTGTGCTAAATTAGTTGCCCTCATAGAGCTTGAATTCTACTTCGCCTCATTTTGTCTCAAGCGAGGTCTTGGAAATACCCGACATCCTCAAAAAGACATCTTTCTTTATATTTATCGGTTGTTTAAATCCGAGACGCGGATGTATACATGTGCCAATAAAACAAGTCGTACCTTTGTCGGTATACGTCTTATGATTAATGGGACATTTGATGTAACATCAACCGGCAAAAAATTATCAGTCCACCAGGACGATCGAACATGTTTGAAGAGATATATATACGTTATAGTTGTTCAGAGCTGAAGCTTGTTTCGGCATTATGTTAGCTATATGCGCGTCTGGATGGCAGCAGTTGAACAGCCCGAAGTTTTACGTACTTCCGGATAACCGGCCATAATGGAATATTTTAGGACAACTTCATTTTGAAGGTAAATAAGTAAGCAAGCGTAACAATTAGGATTATTCGTCATTTGACTTTTCTTCTTCATGATAATTTAATGCGGGTATTAAGCAGGACATAGCAGATTCTTCTCCACACGCAATGCCCTTGTTTATCTAATTAAGGCGATATCTTCTATATTTATTATTTATTTTAATATTTAATATTTATTGACGTAACATTGGGAAATCACGATTTTCCGCATCTTTCTACTTGAACGGTGAAATGAAAATCAAAACCATACGTCAACCGTATAATACGTTGCCGTTCCGGAAGTTACGCGCGTCTTGAAATTACGTAATAATGCAACTATAACGATTATGTTTTGTCATCATAGCCGACAGTTCGACGCCGGAAGAGTCGATCTTATCACAACATCGTGCAAGTTTCGTATCAGACGATGGGTCTCAAAGCGCTACCATGAAAAATCTCTTGCCCAGAACAACGTACCAGATATCTGTTGCGGCTAGCAACGATATTGGCACTTCGCATACTTCCGACACTCTCAACGTAACTACCAAAGTCGACCGTAAGCATCGTTCTATTCTCATAATTAGGTAACTACTTTGCGGCATCGCGGTAGCAGACCGTCACCCTATGTCTACGTATTTTCTCCTCTTTTTGATACAATATCACATGTCGACATGCTAGAATAATACCTTATATTGCTTCTGGTAAAAAGGGCGCTATCACTAACAGTTTGATGTACTCTTACGGTGTTTGTAGCACCTCAAAAACCACCACGAGATATCGAAGTACTCCCGGTCAGTTCCTCAAAGCTGCGCGTTCGATGGAGGGTAAGAATGACGCGACTACCTGTATATATACATATATATGGAGCGCTTATATTGACAATGGAAAATTAAAGTCAGCCGATCCTCTAACTAATAATATAATAGTACATAGAAAGGAGCGCAGCGCTGTTAAGAAAGGAAGCTTTTTCTTCCCCAAACACAGACACCACCTTTATGGCCGCGATGACATCAAACTCTCGGTAAAAAGTCAGACATCTTACGCCGCTTTGATGATGATGACCTGATTACCCAATAAGTTGTAACCTAACCTAACCTAACCTAACCTAACATACATTTACAAAATTCTGCCCCTTTAATAAAAAGGCTAAATTGCCTCTTTCGTATATGCACGTAAAGCTTTCAGAAGTATCACCACATTTCCCATATAGTCAGTGAACTATAAATATACATTTTGAAATAAACAATTGTGGTTAATCGGACGTATCCCTCAACGTACAATTCGGATAGAATACCAGGACTTTCAGTGACGTTTGATTATGATATCGTTTGACAACGCTGAGGAATAATTCGGAACAATTATCCTGAGCGCTTTCTGGTAAATATGGCACATCTTTTCGTCGGATCACTCGGGCGATTCTTATTGACTTACTAAATGGCAAATACTCTGAGAAAGCTTGATAAATTCATTGTCCTTTAAATCTGTTTGGATCCATCAAAAAAACATGTAAGTAAGTTCATAATATTGATCAGAGTTGATTCGGTGTTAAACGAATTATTGTTTCTGCAGCGTCCTCTGGATCCACCCTCCGTACCGATCGGAGGCTATTACATTGGTTACCGCGCTAATCAGGAATCGGTATTCGCATATGCAACACACTCACTCTTGAATTTAGCACCCCGTGACGTAGAGGAGTTCTTTGTAACAGGACTCAAGAAACGCGCGAACTATTGTGTTATAGCACAGGCCTACAACGAACAAGGGAATGGCCCTTCTTCGAAAGAAACCTGCGCAACAACGTTTGAATATGGTATCCGTATGAATAGATTTTGCTCGCTTGCCTTACTGTTGGATGGGATAAGATCTATTTAGTTTAAGTTACTGATTGACTTGAGCTCTTAAAATTTATATTTTTAATGGGAATATATTAAGTTCGTAACGAACTTTTTGTGGATTTAAATACAACAAATAGCCTCGGTAGTCCTATTAAACAATCTGTGAAGCTTCACTGTCAGATTAAAAGTTACACTATTTTATCTATTAATAGTTTTTTAGTATAAAAAAAAACCTACCTATATGTTCTTACTAAGGGAAAAAATTTGCCAATGTATTGATTGACGTGACAGATCCACCAGAGTCGCCTCGCTTGAAGCTGATTTCCTCAACGGCCACATCGCTCCACATATCTTGGGAGGCACGCCCTTCTGATAAGGTGCAGGGCTTCATCGCACACTACAAACACGGCAATGGAGGCTTCGTAGAGGAACGTCTCAGTCGTCAGCTTAGCTCTAAGTTACTGTCGGGTCTGCAATGTGGCACGACCTACACAGTCTATTTGACCGCGTACAACGATGTCGGCCATAGTGAGCCAAGTGAATTTCTCGAAGCTGCCACGAACGGAAAACGTATGTTACGTGACGGTGGCTCTCATGACCGCTCGATAATGATACGCGTTTATTTCTCCTATATGAATTCATAATTGTAAATTGTAGGTGCCGCAAAATAACATGGTTCTTCGGTAACTTCGGTTTTTATGTCACTGTTCGTAGCTGTTTCAAATGTCCTCTAAACGCGAAACATAATATTCTGTATCGTTTTTAGTTTGGATAGGTACTATACGTATATGCACATACCAATGTTTTAAAGATAAATGGTTATGAGCTTCATAGTAAGAGAGAACTTTTAGTTTCCCGAACGAAGACGTTGCTTTGAGAGATCGAACAACATATAAAAGTAATGTCAGTTTGAGTTTTTAGATTCGTAATTGAATTTGAATGATTTATAGCGAGGATAAATAACGAGTTTATGGTAATGTCAAATAATTGTGTATGGTAAACAGCTCCGGTAGCACCTGCGGTAGAAGCACTAGTGGCTGACGTCAATCAGACAGCGCTAAAGTTATCCCTTAGCGCATGGCGCGAAGCAGGCTGTCCTATTCTATTCTACGAGGTACGCTACAGGCCGAGAGATTCTCAAGGTGATTGGATCGTTTACTCTAACCACATCCCACGGGAACAGCAGGTGAATTTACTGGATAACTTCACCCCATTTTAGGCATGTTATGAAGATAATAGTTACCTACTTAAAAGCCGCTTATGAATTGGAACCGACAACGCCGATCAAGTGCATCTGTGAACGGCTCGGTAGATGCAGGTCTCGTTTCTGGATTAAGCATGTTAATGGAACGTTCAATTCTGAACTAGAACCACTCATTGCCTTAAGCCGGTTCGGCCCTTACAAAAATCGTTTCAAGGCCCAAACCTGTTCGCACTGTGCACAGGCTCAATTCTATGATACCTTTTGAACAAATCGCCATCTTGGCTTGTGTCGCAGTTGTTTTGAAAATTCGTGATATTCCTACAAGAAAGGCATTGGTGATAACATGACAGAAGCAAAACGCTTCTTATGCACTTTTAGGCACCTCAAGAGCACCTATTGTGCCTGTCCGATTGCCTTTCTAAGTTGTTTAGATAGTATTGTAGTCAATTAAAGAAAACATGACTGTAATTCATACTTTCAGACTGTTTATATCGCAGAGCTAACACCGAGTTCCTGGTACGACCTCTCTGTATGGGGTTATAGTGAAGCAGGGCATTCAGAAGCTGCGTACCTTGTGGGTACTCTTACGCCTGACGGAAGAAGGCCGCCTCCACCACCACAACGGATCAACACCGACACAGCGACACAACATAGAGGGCATCTTCAGGGCATTCAGGTAAACGAACAAGTCAATAGCCTTCATTTGTCCTAGGTGTATCTTGTGCCACTCGCGCATACAAGCTTATGTTTATTTTACGCATTCTAGATACGCACATACAATATCAAGCCAATACAACTGATGCGACTTTTAGGGCTAGTGATGAGCCATGTTTTATAGTAATGGGAAACACAATTTGGCCAAGCTTTTTCATTTTGGCCAAACAGTTTGCATTGTGCCCTGTTCTAACTACGATTTTGGCATATTTGCGTTTCCTATATAAAGACGCAAATCTATAAAAATACTAGAAAGTCTAGCGTTTGGAATGTATTACTTACTTTATTCGTGTATTTTAAAGAACGTTCCTTCTTCCGTAAGGCCTGTTTACCAATACAAGAACGTGACGTATATGCTTTTAAACCGAGTGTCTGTTCAGTTCCCATCAGTATTAGAAAAGGGGCTGGTTTTCGTCTGCCTCGGGCAGTTTTTCATGATGCTCTCTGGAGGCATGCCCCCTCTCATTTTCTCCCTACATCTGCAGGTCAGGTCGACAATGCTCTAAGAGCAGCCCACTCGGTTGCTCCTTCCCTTTCTACTATCTTTGACATCTGCCACCTCCCCTCTGATCCGATCATCACTTGGCGCTGTTGCAATTACCATGAGACCCGAGCTCTCATTATCGACAACAATCATCAAAGGCACACAGTAAAAAGCCAGTAGCAAGGCTTCTAGCCCGAAGGATTGTTGACCCAAAGGCAGTTAGCCACGACGAAGGTTCCCATTGAGGATAGGATAGCTAAGGAACGGGGCAAAAAAAGAGAAACTGTATACTTTAGGCTGGAAAGAGGTCAATAAAGAACCTATGCACGATATCACGACAAAACGAATAGTGATCTCACGCCGATGCAGACTGTTTTTTAGATTTCAATATGATGCCCCTTCGGCCCGCGCGGATTATCTTGTCAAATGATCCCGCGATTTCAGAGCTTCAATAGTTCAGTTCGAGCTGAGCCACATAGTAGGCGTTTTCTGCTATGCGAAATAGATGAGATTTTAGACTATTTTGTTATCTCATAATTGAAAAAAGGCACATTTTGACCCTTCAGAATATAAGTATATTGCTGATCTAAATCGGTAAAATAATCTGAATATGCATACAACTAAGGCGTTACGTTATCTGTGATTATGGGGCAAATTTCAGGGTGGCGCATGGATGGTGCCCCTCATCTGTGTAGTGGCAGCCATTGTCGTCATCATCGGAGTCATTTCGGTGCTGGTGCTTTCCACGCGAAAACGAGATCAAAGATTACAGGAACTATGTAAGACTTAGTTACCTTGCTGAGGGTACATTATCTGAACGTATGAAACGAAATATGACAAAAAAGCCGAAGTTAGTAAAGCTCTCCTTAAGATGAGATAGCGCTGAATTGAATAGATTGTGAGTCCGTCTTTACGGCAAGCGACAGGTCATCCACAAGGTAGAAACATTAAGGATAGGCTTCAGTTTTTTAGAGCGTAGAAGGATTTTAGATCTGTAGCTAACATGGTCCAAAATGTAAACCGAGAGACCCTATACACTGAGACAAACTAATTTGGTTTCTTAGTTTCTCTTTTATTCTGTTAATCGTTTAATCGATTTATTGCCAGAATTCACTCGAAAATAATTACTTTTTTCCCTGTCTGGAACCTCTAGCTTTGGAACTTGAATTCGATGTAAGATTTCATTCAACTTCAAGGGGAACAGGATAAGCAAGTTTAACAAACAACAGATACACATGTTTTAATTGAATATTGCGTTGCTGATGAAGATTAAAAGTTGGAATTGTACACCATTTTGAATAATAACCTTCTGCTATTTTTCTGCTACCATTACTCTAGAAGGTCACAAGTGTTTTTCATTAAAATTAGCTTTATTAACAGATCGGAACAGATCGGTAGTACAAGTTCCAGTCAATAAGGTGGATGTGTTCAAATTTCCTATCTAAGTAGATTCTCTCGGGTAGCTAGAGACGAATGTGATCTGTCATAGAATAATAGAAAACATTTACCGGTCGATTTTTTTTGATTTTGTTGGTTATTACAAGTAGAATTCCAGGCGGCAGCAAGTCATATTCGGTTATCGTACTCCCATCTATTCTGGACTTTAGCACAGATTGTAGAGTATACGCTCTACTAATTCTTTATTAGTACATTTTCGTCGAGCGTTCTTTTGTAGACAACTTCTTTTAAACTAAAAGTAATTGGAGGCTTGGCGTTTGGTTCTCTAGCGATCTCATGGCTGCCATCGGTGTTGCTTAATTTGGTTTTAGCAAATCAACTTCTATCTGATTAACCACTACGAAAAAATCTATCTACGAAAAAAGCGTATGAAAGTGTCTAGAGCCGGAAATGACAAAGCCATTCCTTCGGATAACGTTTGCTGACCATAAACGGTACAACTTTTTTTTAACATAAAAAATTGAAAAAGAGATTCGTCCTTAAGGCGCCTTATGTCGGGCCTAAATAAATTACTCCAGCAATATATGAGCGTTACTGCCAAATCTCGGTATTCAAATGACACCGACTTATAGGTGACTACAGAGCTACTCAGATGGATTTAGCCTAGAGATGCTTAGATTAGACAATACCAATTGAATTCATACACGAACTAAACTCAGCCATCGTCCGTTTGTAGCCTTTTTATAGTAGCGACAAAGTATAATGCGTAGTAATTAGGACATCGTTACTTTGTTCTGTGATTACAGATAACCAAACAGATCCTGGTAACTCAATGACATTAAAGACCTACCCAAGTATGGGGCAAATGGGAGGTGGAGCCATGATGGGCACAATAGCTAGACACAATGCTGGCACGATGGCCTCTTGCAAGACACTTTCGGCCTGTAGCAAGCAGTGCAATGGATCCACAATGGGCCCGGCCTTTTATTACCCCGCTAACTACTCGGCAACAGTTCGTGGAGAAGGACAACTCTACCCGAATCCTACAGCGAACGGCGAAGATGATCGCCAGCATACGTATGAAGATCCTTGCAAACTTAAGGTATCTACCTTTACGTTTATCTTCACTTCAAAGAGATGCCTTATTTTTTGTCCTATTTTTTTTGACGATATAGATACTCATTGAAATCGATTTATTGCTGCATTTTGGGACATAAGTAACATTCTTCGTTCACATAGACCGTATAGCTAGCTATGCGTTGTTAACGAGATTCGACCTCCTAGAGATAGATAAATTGGCGTATTGGGATGCACATACGTATTTGAAATTTACAAGATCTATCATATCTTAATACGATGTGCTATACTTACGTGAGCAGACGTATCTCTCATTTATTGGTAAACAAAGGTGAATGCTTGGCAGCTATTCCCCGCAGCCTTATACAGATGTGGACCAGGTTACTTAAATCCAAAAAAAAAAAAAAAAAAAACCTCAAATAAAATTGATAATGAGAGTATAACGTGAAGCCTTGAAAAACGTTTACGTGTTTCTTATTTTTTAAAGAATCGATGTGTTCCAATGTGCTATATCTATAAAAGTGTCCGCTTTGTTAGGGCAGGCTCAAAAACTGGGTGCGACCAAGTGGACACGATGCAGAATGCTAAAGCATAATGGCATAAATTACTTTTTTCCTGGAAACCTGGTCCTCTGGCCAAGGCACAGTCTGCTTGCGCTGTCTATCTACATTTCGCTTAGGTTAAAAATAACCACGTGGTCCGTGACTTCCTACACATCTTTGTTCCTCTAGAACGTTAAAGCTAACATGTCCGGACAAGTTTCTGTCAGGAGAAACTCCATTTAGGATGGTCTTTTCACTTTGTTGTATAGAAAAATTGTCTAAATCATGGGCATAACGGTGGTCTCCGGTTAAATACCTTTAGCGCGTTTATAAAAACCAATACTTCAGAGACTATATTATTGCTCCTGAAGACAATCTATTATTCAATTAGTATCAATCGTACCTAGTAAAGTTCTTCAGTTGTTTCGAGAGGCAGAAGACAGGGTTGAAGTTAATATTTTAATGTTGAACAGATTTACTGAAGCGCTACCGAGGCAGTTAAAATGGAATCTATCAATGCCTCCTTTGTCTACTTTGCTGCCAGCTACTTTGCTATCGATAAAAACGACAACATCCTCATTCAGTTTCATAGCTGAAAATCAATCCAGATACGTAGGGCGAGAAGGCCTCCCATGGAGATGGATACCCCAAAAGACTTTTACAATTGCTGAGAAGCAACAAGTCTTTATCACGGCCAACTGGAATGACCAATCATGGGTCTCATTTTTACATTTGTTTCTATTTGTTTTCCTATTCGTTACTGACGCGAGCTGTTAGAATTGTTTCTGACTTGAATATTTGTAGAACGGCTCTTATGCTAACCTAAACCTGTGTCAGAATTCGTGTAATTTTTATGTCAATGTTGATTGAACTGTATAACTTCCAACAGAATCACTACTGATTAGTGGTTTTTTTCAATGAAATATTTTGTATAAGCAGCTAGGTAGTTAGCGATACTAAAAGGGCACTCCTTTTTTTGCGCAGGACAGCGCCTCTAAATCTAATTTTCTTCTTTGATGAGTTGTTTCTATATCTATATAAAAATTATTGATCAGAAAAAAAGGTTCTATTTGTTATAAGCGTCACTCCTGGCGGCTACGTTTCTACAAAACGACCGTCAATTGCTTCGATTATATTTTCAGTTCACTATTTAAACCTCTCACTAATAATTTTCAAAATACCTTTCCTTTAATATGCAAATAAGCTCTATCGTGACGTAAGCGATATGGATATATTTATGCAGGGGCTTAGAACAGCCAACGAGTACAAAACGCGCAAAAAGTCTCAAACAGGGTAACCGTAGTTAGAATAGTTTGTCAGGACGACCCAAATGATATCAATTTCTTCAAAACGACCGTTAATTTCTACTTAAAAAATTCAGATGTATCAAAAACGTTTTTTCGAGCGAATTTTTTACTTTTCGGGTCCGCTAAATTTAAATCTCTATCGGTTTGCCTTTCCGAATTCTTCCTCGACTGTGTATGAAAAATTGACCATAACGTAGATCATTGATTTCGAGCAGAACAATGCCCGTTAAAACAAACAGCCCAGCAATGTTTCGGACAAACATGATGAGGTATAAAAACTGAGATAATTTTTATACCCCACCACGTATAGTTGAATAATTAATACTACAACGCTAGTCGTCACTTTCAAAGCAGGCGCACGTGAGAGTAGAAATTTTTAAACATACATAATCGTTCGTTTACGCGTTTGCATCGATGGTTTGACGTACAACTGAGACATCAAAGTCAAACTTATTTCAACAAGCTAACTTATGATTACTTCATTTGTCACATAGCAACTTGAAGTATTCCACCACAGTCACTCAGTTCGTTCAACCCGAAACTTCAATAAGAGGAGAAAAGCAGCGTTCGACAGCTATATAGTAATAGTACGCAGCTAGTTTCTTTTTGCAAGTTGCTTTACTATACAACCCTTAGTAGTCTAGGGAATACTGGCATCAAAAACGGCCCTATAAAGCCTAAAAGGGCAATGATTTGGGTTACGGTTTTCTTATACCCAATGCTCGAATATTCTCCTTTTTTCCTTTCTCATGCCGAGTGATATATAAGCGGACCAGCTAGATGCGGTGGGTTTTAAGCACTGAAAATACTTCATCAAAGGAATGCGGTTGTCGCAGTTTTACTCGCACTTGGAGCTAGGGACCGTCTATGGCCGGTACCTAATAGTAAAATTGCAAACGGGCTGTTGCCGTAGTTAGTCTATGTTCCTTCCATGCGAATTTTTAATACGAAAGACTTAGCCTTTTCATTGACTACTTTGTGTGGACGGTGCAGCAGGGCCAAAAGTTCTCCGCTATCAAGCTTTCTAGCCGGTCACCATATCCGCTCTCTCAAGCTTGGGGTAATATTGCAATGAAGATCTATATAGCAGACGATCAAGTTAGTAATTGTATCTGGAGGTGTGCGCCGTGTTAGGTGATGTCTCTCAGAGATTATTTCTCTGCCTTACGCTAAAATGCCACTTTCAAAAGTAGCTTAGAGAACTTTGTCCGCTCAGCCACCGGTTTTGTTCTTTAATAGTATCGAACTTTCTTTTAAAGATCGTCAATTTGTTGAAGCTAATTTTTAATTTGCACCAACACTAAATACATTTAACATGATATTAAGCAGCAAACATTAAACAACTTATATTAACCTGGACACCTAGTCAAACAAAAACATTTTAGCTGCTTCTGTTACTTCGATGGCTGCGCATTGTTAAAAAACAATGATCTAACTGTGTGCCCGCATTTCGTTTTGTGTATATATAATAACATGGTCCCAGCAACATACTGCGCTCAGAGCTCTTTCTGGAATAAAAGGGCACTGATAAGGACGTACCTATGCGTCAGAGTAGGCAACGCGAATTAGCAGATACAGCTCAGCCAAATACTTTTATTCATCTATTTCAGAAAATTGAACAGTTTGTTTCTTGTCATTGGTTGGGTAGATCGGATAATATTTGACAAATAGGCTGAATTCGACCGCTTATTGTAACTGTGTCCCTATAAAATCCACCCCAAGCCATTATTAAGAACGCAAGCATCTACTATATGCAGTAAAGCAGACATACATATTACCTGGTAGCGGCAGAAGCGCAGGCAGTTTGTAGTAGCGCTGGCGTAAGGGCAGACCGACCGCGACGGAGCAGGCAATTGAGCGACTCAGCCAGCGCATGAACGAAGCCAATAGAACGACCAAGCAGCAACGGCGGAAACCAGATCTCCCTGCCTTCGGCGGTTCATCTTCTACCGACAGCCGCCATTGCCGCAGTCGACTTCTGCAGAAACCAACCGTTTGCCATCGTCTTCATTTCTCTCCCCGCTTTACGCGTATCCTCATTCCTTGTTCTTCTCTGCTGTCTCGTTCTCCTGTTCTCCGGCTGAGCGTTCAACTTTACCGCATACAGACACCAGGCGGGAGGTCTGTTACCATCATTATGCAAACATAAGGCAGAACGATCTGAAAACTGTGTCAGCCCCGAGAAGAAATATAGAGCAATCTCCCATTATGCAAAAATATAACGACGCTGCTTTCCTTAACCACCGCTCGGCTATCTCGAAAAAAAAAAAACTGTAGTAGTAGCCCGTATGATCTGTATGGCTCTGTCTTCGTTTTTTCGTTGACTTCATCCTTTATTCCACTTGCCTTACTAAGACTAGTTTAATGCAACTAAATTAGAGTTAGTTCGTGCAGAGTGTTCGCGCTTTCCTCAGTTTAGGATTCTTGTTGGTCGTATCCGACCGAGGACGGGCCTCCTCACGTTGTGGGCATAGTTAAAAAAGCAGCAGAAACAACAGCAGTAGCATCAGTGTCATCAGGACACACTTGATGGGAGTAGTCCTGACAGAGGAACCCATCGGAGTATCCCTAAGCACTGTACCCGACGGTTAATTCTCGCAGAGAGCGGGATGGGAAAGGAGGGCGAACAGACAGAAAAAAGGGGACGTGCAATGAAATAGTAGGGGATGTCTAAAAGGCACAAGAGAGGAAAGGGCTACGGTGTAAATCACAGGAGCAAACCCGCCCAATTTCGATTCGTGGACAATCAACAGACAAGAAACCAGAAGAGTATAGATTTTTTTTTCGAAGGAACGTATCAGTGTCTTCTCGTGTACGTACAGCAACGGGCCAGATTTCCGAGTTTCCGAGCAACTCTGGAAGCATACGCAACTGGAAAGGAGGCAGCAACTCCCGTTAATCTCTTGGACTCAATGTTGTGATATCAAGGGCAAGTTTTTCGTAATTGGTTAGCCTGACGACTTTTCACCAGTTCCGTATAGCTCTACAGGTACTGCTCAACCAACACCAACATAGGTTACACTTAGAAATGCCCTATAGGGGCGAACACTGTCAACATGCAATATTCAAAAGCGAGATTCATTAAACGTGCACTGAGTTCGAATTGCAAATATAGCACGACGGCAAACGTCACAACGATAGCGCTTTCGTAATTTGAATGTAAGTTATCGATACATAAAGCTTTTTACATCGGGAATACTTAGTTGGACATTTACCTATTAAGTAAAGGGAGCACAATGTAGAGCAGTACAGCACAAAAGTATAACAGAATAGCCTCAATTACAATCAACACCAGCAAAGCTATTTAAAAATTAGGAAAAGCTCAACAACGTCTTTGATCATCGTGCAGCTTTTTACAAGCTGCCATATTAAGGCAGCAATCTGAACCTTACGAGAACGGCTGGGCTTGATCGGGCACCTATGAGATCGATAAGATCGCAGCCTATAACTGATCCGATACAAGAGTGTGTCGCCTGTTTTCGTGTCTTGTTAGCGTTTCAAGTTTAGACGAGCACTCATCATTCATAGAAATGTTCGATAACGCCGCAAGCTTTGCGTTCAAAAAATGGCTAAGCAAAAAACAACAAGTCTAGCATTGCGTAGCGACAAAAATTCCAGTCTTTGGTCTGCCGATACTTCAACAGGTTTCAATACAGTATTGGACCATATTAGGGAAAAGAGTGACAACGTACGACTTGTCGTACCCCCCGACACACGCAGATTAATCATAGTCATCAACCATCCCAATTGTATATTTCAGGAGCAACAGATGCGAGCGGCTGCGGCCGCTGCTGAAAACGCGCAGACCTTAAAGCGCAAGGTACAGATGGACTCAGCAGCTTTTGAAGGTCGGTAATGTTTATAGAATTAATAGAATGGATTGTTACTATTGCGTCATAAAAATTAATATCAATTATATCAACTGCATGTCAGTAGATATTACCCTGCAAAAAGGATAGACAACCAGGAAGAAGTAACTTTGAATGGTCAAACGGGACATAATATTACATGAAATTCATTATTTTGTTACGGCGGAACGATCTGCGTAGATAGGCCGTATCACCTTGATAATTCGGTAATTCAATTATAATCTGTATCCGTAAACCATCTACTTGTGTTTCTAAAAAGAGCAAACAATAAAAAGCAAAGCGTTTCGGTATATATAATAAACCTCAATATGTAGGCTAGCAGACCCTAAGCCACTAATAACACTATAATAATAAGCCACTAATAATTCACAGGAGGTAAACATCGTATGCAATATTCAGACAACTCCAACACTCTGTAAGTATCACGCGACGCAGAGCATTGTAGAAAATGTTTCGCATGGCCTTGTCAAGCGATGCTGACGAGAAAACTTAAACGGCCAAAAGGCCCTTGAACCTTTACAACAAACCTATGAAGGATCCTACGACGTCCGGAAATTTCCATCACAGTAGCTGTTTGTATAGGTACTTGGGAGATGGCTCACTGTCTACGATGCTACTAATTGTTACAAGCGCTTAGCAAACCTTTTCATTAACGAATTCCCACTATTTTGCCATTTTTATTGCATAAGCCTTCGAGTTGTGATCGCAACAATTTACTAGAGTACTATCAATGTTCTCTCAATTCTTCCTTTAGCTTTCAGTGGTTTAAATGTGTTTCTTTTTCGTCATTTTCATCCCTATATTGTCAAAATTTTTGGTGGGAGGCCTAAATAAATTTGATGGTAATAGTAATCATTGTTAAATAAGCAATTTAACGTGACCAAAGATGATATGCTTTCAGGGAAGAACATTCACCACCGTTTTTGGGTTCAGGCGGGCAACGTATGTGTGGGCAAGGCAGCATGGACGAGTTTGAAGAAATGTCTGACTTCGGGGAGAACAAACAGGCTTGCTATACTTCGTACGGTTATAAAGGCAAGTTGGCTGTTTTCTACACGGTTTTGTATTGGGCTTCTATGACGAACGACGACCTGTGAGTCCCTTTGTAAAGGCAAGGTGGAGGTTGGTCATACATTTGCTAGTGGACCGATCTATAAGGTAACCAGCAGCTAGCTCATGCCGCCTCAAGGTACTTTTACCTATTACCTTGTACGCCAGCCAATTCGTTATAGAAATGGCAATTATGATCTGATTTTCTTCTTCTTCATGTCGAGATGTTTGCATGCAATATTCAAACTCACTTCGATTTGGATAAATGGCAATGTGTTTGAATTGGTTGAACTAAGATAGGCCCAAGCCTGGCATGATGGACGCAATAGCCTTACATTGATTGTGCATAAGCAAATAAAGAACACGCAAAAGTGCCACGGACTTTTGAGAAAATTCATGTACGCTTACGTTCTGCACTGCGTAGCTAATATTGCATTTGGATTTTGCAGTACCCCGACCCTATCCATCGACGATCAACGAGGAGTCCTCTGTATATTCGGATTGTACATACCGAAGCTCATGAGTGAGGAGCTGCATTATGAGTGTCAAGGTGTAGGTGCTGCCGTTCAGGCAACCGCCCAGTTATGGTGGTTCCTTCACACGAGCCGGTAACAACAGTGTAGTTCAATATACTTTCCGATATTTGAGGCTAACGGTCTCTATCCAGAAGTGCTTCCATTTATTTTCAGCTAAACATAATTATTTTAGGCGTTAAATTGTCGATAGCGAGGGCACCATATGAGATCGAAATGGATGTCGACAATGAATCTTTCAGTAGGGCGTTTATTGCTGCCAGAATGACCAAGTTTGGGTGCGAAAGTGTGGCAAGGTTGCCGTGAAAGGGAAATTTACACAGGACCTTCTGGATGTCAGTAGACGTACGAGCGTGCTTAATGCATGCCATACTTTAGCCCCGCGTCATGAAAAACAAACATCAAGGACGAAAAATAGGACAGGAATTAAGAACAGCAATGAGGTAAATGAAGAAATAAGGAGAAAGACCACCGCTGCCGCCCTTTTCAGCTCTGGGAACTTCTGAATGATGAGCTTGTCCAGCAAACAAGTATCACAAAACCACCGAATGACTAATTATTATCATTATGTAAATACTAATTATTAACTATAACGATTATCACTATTATTATCACCATTGTCATAGACGTTGAAATATGATGAATGAATGGTTTTGTGTGTGCTGACGGTTTATTATATAGAGATACTGTAAATAGGGATGCGGTTGCAAATCTGGATACTGCCAGATATAGATCATTGCACAACCTGGTCTAATGATAGCATACCGGGATTATGGTAGTTAATAGTTACTCCTGTTCCCCACACCCATATATATATATATATATATATATGTATATATATATGAACACTGTACAAATCAGACCTGACCTTAGAGACTCCAGTTTATCTATAAACCCAATTAATTCTTCCAACCTAAAGAATGTATTTAGAGACCCAGCTAAAATGATTATAATAACGCTGTAGTTAGTGAACCGATTTTAGCCATGGGTATTATTAATGTGGGTCACTGAACAGCCCAGTGTGCGCACGAATTCGCATAGGTACTCCTAAATTGACAAGAGCATACGCGCCCATCACGCGAAGACAGGACCCAAATACACAAATAATATCGAACTTTTATCACTAAAAACTGGAAAATAAACGAATGAATAGTGAATAATACGCAAGAGTAACCAATATATAGAAAAATTAGACTGATTCTCCACAACCATTTAACTTAGGACTTTCTCTCTCTAGGTATTATTAGACAAATATCCGAACTCGCTTTTCTTTTGTTAAAGCTAGACAGTTTACCCATGAATTAAGCGTATGGGTCAATATAGAAGAATCTTATGAAACGGTCTATATAATATTTCTAGTCGCCCCATGGTATTGTTTCGAGCTCAATTAATCCGTAGTTTTTTTTTTCAATTTAAACCAGATGTTATTCTCTCATATTTCATACACACTCTAAACACACTATATTATTTAAGCGGCCATAGGAATATAACAGACAAAAGCATCGTTTCGGGATAACGAACCAAGTCAAGTCACGTTCTTGATATCTTTCTAAATTATTCGAAAATATGCTCAATTCTGTAGATTTATTCAACGACTTTCCCATCAATCTTTGAGGAGCGATACGGTCATTCTCGCCTTCCACCTACCCCCGCCCTACAATAAAGTGCCTTTTATATAATAACGTTGTTGTTTCTGTGATATAAGGAACGTAGAAGTAATAGACAACAGAGCGAGTTCTGTGTAGGTCAGAGTCGAACTCCCAAAAGCCGAACGGCTTATGCAGTACTGCAACGACCCCTTTGGTCAATGGAAATAGACACAGAAAAGAGCTACTAGCTAATGATATAGTACAGAGAATGAACAATAATTATAAACGACAATTTACCATTACTACGACAAAAAACAAGATTAAAAAATAGAGAAAAATTTAGTGACGCTGGACCATATTGGGCGGCACACAGTGTGGCTTAATCGAAAGCGATTAATGTGAGTGGGTGTTGCAAAAAACGACAGCGAGAGTTCTACAGATATCCAGATATGTAATAGGTTGGCAGGTACAATAGAAACATGGTCTGCCGGATAGATGTTTTTCTAGATTTCACACAAAACATATTTGCCCCTTGAAGATAGGGCATGCAAGTAGAAGATCAAGAAATACAAGTATCTTAAAATTCATGCCCAATGTCTAGTTGATGCTAGTATGTTGCCTCAACGTCTATTACAAAAAAAAAAAAAATGGCCCAGCTTATCGACAAGGACACTAAATGAATAGATTCGAGATCAAGTAGAAAGATTTTTCTCATAGCCCAACTTTTTTTGGATAAACTATTACAAATACTGTTAATCCTTGCATATAATAACGTCGATCGAAATCAGTTGTGCCCTTTATAATGCATGTTCGTTGTTTTTCAACTTGGTATCCAAAGGTGGTGCAGTATAATAATGACAATAGGGTGAACGAACTTCCGACTTCATCGGCCAAAAGTTACGTGAGCGACTGAATCGAAGCTTTTACCTTTTTTTAGCCAACCAGCAAAATCGGATACGAACGGCAGAGGTAACAAATCGTTATAACTAGAACAACTACACGTGAAATATCAAGGAACGGGTCAAGAGAAGTTAAGCCGAATTACATTACGCCGAACTAGAGGTAGAGTATGACCCTATAAATTAGTACCATTTAGAAGATTTGGCTGTTAGGAGGATTGGGCACATACCAAGTTAGAGTTCTCGATGACTTGAAATGAAAACTCGAGGAAGTTGTATCTTGCCGAAGTATGAGGTCCCCATATGGAGACCCATTGCACTTCAAAAGCCGAAACTTCCGCCTTGGATGCGCAATGACCTAAATAATACAATTTCATAGTGGCTGAATTCCTTTGCAAAGACTCTACCAGAATACGTTCACAGGTGTCAGAAAGAGAACTAAACGGATAGGCTAATTGTTTGAGAATTACCCTTAAAACGATGTATGAACTAGACACGCCGATCTATAGCATCTGTCACTGCGCGTTTTTCTAATAGTTAGAAATTTGCGAGACCATTAAAAGCGCTTAAGGGTTTTGTGATATTTTGTCAGTGATGTGATCCTCTTTGACTCCCAAAAGCTTCCTGTAGATGTCCGTTTCTGAAGGCAATATTTCAGTAGGTGCACCAGTACACGCCAAGACCCGACAAAACCTAAGCTAACGTATTCATTTAAACTCATGCCAATTAAATGAATCTATTCAAATCGCGCACCGGCGATATCGGGAAAAGAGTCTTGTGCTTTGAGTGTTGGCTATTGGAATGAATGTGGTCCAACCAATTTTATAAAAGATTTTCTAGTGTGAAATTGCTTGAATGAGAGGTGGGTGCGTCAAGTCGATCGTAAACAACATGTAACAATCGCCGCCTAATCGCGCTAAATAGTAAATAAATATACTCTGATCAAAATGAAGGGGTGCGCTATAGCTCAGATCCGAGTGCTCAGTGGCTGAATGCGTTAGGAAATGGAGTTCGCATACGTGTTACTACGTGTTCTACCGCGCGTTGACTTCGTGCATAAACTGTCGCTCTCCGCTCGAAACTTCCCAAATGAATATCGGGCCGTAGGGGAGCTCTGGTCTGCTCAACACAGTGTTCTTCTGACAGATCAACAAGACAGTAGATTACGGAAAACAACAAATCAACAAAACATATAAACTACTGCTATTGTTAATACCACCACAACTACAGGAGTGTGTGTTATTCGTGGTAACAGTTCAGTGATTAGCATGCGCTAAGTTGTATTTACTGGATGATGAGGATCCTAAAAACGAAAAGTGTAAAAAAATAAAAAAATAAAAAAAAAACGACCGTTGCCGCCTTTAATAGGACGAGCAGTGAACGTCATTCTGACTATCGTTAACAACTGTTATGAGGCTCACCTGAGAGCATGGCGTCCACTGCGATACCGAATGCCTGTAGGTGCGAGTGAGGGTCAGGCCTCATAGCGTTTTGCTCTCTTGTTATTCAAATACAGAAAAAGGAGAGAGAGGTGAGCGATAGCTATCAGCGGAACACAGACGATTTCCCCTGTTCAGTAAGCGGTATGTTAAGCGAACATAAGTAATGCTACTTGGAGAATGATAGTGTTAAACATCCTTAATTATGAAATATATTATAAAGGTAATAATTCTAATTATAAATAGCACCACAAATGACAGTATCATTTTGCGAAGACTTTTATGGGCCGAAGACGGTGGCGGCATCATCGGTAACGAACGGCAACCAAGCACAACAGCTACATAATGATTGTGCCATTAACTATTAACAATAACACTAATAATACTAATTAATATTATTAAATGAAAGGTAATAAACATTTTGATGAGCCAGTTTTTAATAAATAAACTCATTGCCTTCATTACGTTAGTATAGATCGATGTGTATGAAATATCGTAGGAATTTCATATGGGTTTTACTCACAAGCACTGATCCTTTGTGTAAGTCAGCTGCAGTGGCCGAACCGGCAAAACAGGTAGGTAGGTAGGTAGGTAGGTAGGTGTATAAGAAACAGACACGAGTAAAGGTGTCGAATAATTATTTAATGTACAGTCTAGAGCATATAATGGAGTAGTCGAGTTCATATTTGCTTTTTCGCGTACGATGACCGTGGCTTAATTCGGCCTAACTCTATCTCCGACTTAACGCCTTTCCCAAAACGTTTCATTTGTCTTCTACTGAATTTCCAACTATTTCCGAACAACTAGCTCACGCACTTGTATATATAAATAAATACTATATATATAAAATATAGTATCACGCATACTCATGGGTGTTCCATGCAAAATTTCTTGGCAAACATATCATGTAATTACTCGCCCGTTGCTACACATATATAGCCTAAATACTGAGACTTGTTTTCCAGCTTTGACACATTTTTATGCGAAACTCTTTTGCTTGCATGTCAGACATCAGCCAGAGACGTATCTCTCAAACCTACATCTCTTTTCTGTAACTATATGTGATTTAATTACTATTTCTCTATGTGACCCGCTCTTGCGATCAACACAACGTCTTTTTTGTAGCAATTTCACCTAGGGTACAAACAAGTACGGCAAAGTAAGCTAAATGCGTCAAAGGTACTTGCCGCCATCTTTCACGGTGCCTTTTTTGACAAAATTTTTTCTGATGACCTTCGTCCCGTCACTTGTGGCAGGTTGACGTTTCGTATGACTAACCTAGTGACTAACAGTATTGAGTTCCGTGAAAATACATTGGGCGCCAGTTCTTTTGCCAGCGATACCATTTTCATAAGTTCTCTGGCACAGGTGTATACGACTTTAAAGATCTCTTTTGAAACAATAATCCATCATAAAACCGACTCGTCAATTTTCACAGTCGTTTAATTAGATTTTTTAGAAAATGTTTTATCCTAATATTTGGACTTTTCTTGTAGTTATGCTTAAAACTTCAAATTGCTATGTTATCCAATTTACAAGTTATAGATTCCTTCATACAAAGATTGCCATCCTCTAACCATTTGAATATCGTATCAGCATGGTGCCATAAAGTTCATTTTCGGATTATCGAGGTCCACTCGCACGCTAATTAATTTTAACAGACATGACAATCTGATTGCGATATACGTTCTGAGCCTGTCGCCTGATGCACCACAGCTCAATATACGGATCCGTCATGAAACAAAACACGTCTGATCCGCATCGCCGGCAGTCATCCAAGTATTTTCTTTAAAGTGATCATAAAACGTTGCAAGTATAGGAACGATGTAGTAAGTTGTCAACTCCGATATATTTGGGACCCTTCGTCACTACACTAGTTACATCGGAAATCACGAAGTATTTCGCCCAAAACCTCTCAGATTTTTTCCATATTTGCTGATGATGACGTTTATTTGCTGTTGTTATATTCTGGAGACATAGCCATGTTATTTTTGATTGATTTTATTTCCTCCACGCCGGCGCGGCTGTTGGAATCGTACGTTCGAATTTTAGAAATCAAGAAGCTCTATAATACTTAACGTAATAATTAATAAACAATAGCCTAATAAACAAGTTCTTATAGGCGACTGTTACTTAAAGGTGAATAGAGGCAGACGAATTTGCAAAAGATTGAGAATTTAACTTGACGTTACAAAAAGAATAATTTGAACTTTGAATACGACGGGACAAACCTTAATTATCTTTAGCTTACTATTTCTAAATAATAATAATCGCTATTTATACACAATACATGGAATTCTATTTGCTAAATTAAGTTAATCAATTACTGAAATAATAGTCGTTAGGTTGTACGCAATCTCTGTGCTTCAAGTTTTACGTTCGGTATCGCTGTTAAGTATTTACATGTAAGTTCACCAGCTCATTAACCCTGTTGCAGATACCCTTCCGCGCTGATTACGTAATCATGCTGGAACGGTTACATTCTCATTTTGAAATATCCACGCAAGTTAAATGTAATAATAAGCAGCTTACTTACAATTAAACCGCTATCACTGTCGTTACCATACGTTCTGCTGTCTAAAACAACAATTCATCTCGACCTAAACGGTGTCAAAATACGTGCTATAAAATTAATTCCACCTTCTACACAACGCCAGCTTGTTAAAATTTTATCTAGTTCCATCTGTTGCTCGGGCGCGGGTCGGCGACTGGACTGCCATCAGCCCGAGTAAAAAGTAACCCTGTTTCATTTGTTGAGATGTCCTTAGAAACGTTTTTCAAGTTTCACATCAGCATATTAGGGAATTCTGGATCTTTTGCTTCGTTAGTGGGAAAAAAATGGAGAAACCCCATTTGATGCGTTACATTGAAATGATTTTACATTATTCTACACAGTGATGCCATGTTCATATTGGAATGTCGCACTAACCTCTTACATATTCTGCCCGCCTATCTATCGCGGTTAACCTGTTATTACATTGCATTTTTAGTACTAGAAGGATTAACTAGTTTCAACTTTGAAACATAAATTTATAGAAATTATAGCTCTACTAGAACGTAACCTTCTGATCTGTCGTTCTGCCCTTTGCTAACACAAACCTATTGGGCTGGCAGCAGCCGGCCGTTATCCTGTTAATATTGCAGACCGGCCCACGGCTGGACCTGTCACGTCACGTTCGTTTGCCCGTCTACTCTATATATATATATATATGGAGTGCCAATGTGATGCTTCGTATTCCGTGCGAAAGACGAAAAGAAAAAATATGGGAAAAGAAGTAAGTATAGAGCCGACGTTTATTCCCACGATTGAGTCCGAGAACTCTCTGCGAATCGTAGTGCGTTCACCTTAAAGAGAATAGGGATAACTGTCATTCGTACGATTGGGTTTAATGCAGTAGCTAGCGAGCCATGTTCGACTTCATAAGCCCGTGTGGTCGCTGAGACACTTTTTTTAATGATACCAGTGTACTACAACACTTTTCTTCAGCACGTTTCTTGCTCATTGATGTTAACCAGGATACCAGTTCTTGCACCATTATTCCGAAAAGTATTAGCAGAAGCCGAAGATTAAAAAACAGATTTTTGTTTCCCGTATCCAAATTTTTCGTATTCACAAATTTGAACTTCGTTTTAACAAAAAATAGGACAAGCAACTGATATAAAGCGTTGCCAAATTATCATTGGCTCTCTAACAGATCGCTAAAAAACTCTGATGGACATTACGCTTTACAGGAGAAAAACAGGCCATCGACAGAGGTGCTCTGCCAGTCTGCGAAATCTTACGGACGGTTCATAACACTTTACAAAAAAATCTGCTCAAAAAAAGCCACCCTGTAATGACTAATTTGGGCAGATGGACACACCCACACGTACATATATACTTCGTTTTAATTATGCAGTAGACAGTAGAGGCAGGTTATTGCTTAAACCGCAAATAACTGAAAAAAGCTGGATGGCGAGAATGCCCAGTAGACTAGTAAAAGCGCTTAATATGGTCTAATACCACGATATGTACTTTACTATATGGGCGATTATATAAAGGAAGTGTATTATACTATAACACGCCATATTCTATCATTATATCGTAGCGAGTATGTTGGGTTGACGACAGGCGAAGGTCGGTATCAGCGCTTAGCATAAAAGGCTAATTAAGCGCACAGCTGTACTTAATCAAATCCAGTGGACACGATACTGAGGACAACTAAAACGGAGTTGTCCTAGCTATTTGCGTCAGGCAGAGTAACGACCTGTCTTTATTGTAGCTTTGAAAAATGTTTTGTTGTCATTTGCGAATATCGGGTAGATAGCAGCTGGTACTCAATAAACAACCCGAGGGGTTGGGACGAGTCAGTCGCTGAAACTTTGTAAATATCGGCATAGTTACTTAGAGATCAGTTTTTTGTTTTTTTTTTTTTTTCACACAGCTCTATGAGTTACCGAGGGTATGTTGTAGCATTAATGCTTCCGATGTTTAGATTAATAAGGTGAATTTCATGTTGATTACCATCATTGTTTTTGATCTAATCCAAACGATGTGAAATACAACTAGAATTTGTTTGAAAAAATATAGTTGAGGTCGAAAAAGCAGAACTTCTAGTCCATTCCGTGTAGGTATAGGCCATTGTTCGCTTGGAAGTCTAGTTATGCGACGAGAACTCGGAGAACCGGGGCAAATGAGAGGAACGGCCTGAACCAGACGGATGAGAAGCGAAATGGAACTCCGAACTCCTAATTCCCTTGCGGGATTGAGAGAGAGACCTAGTGGAAAGACCCGATGGAATCGAACAAGCCAAGTAGAGGAGCGGAAAGGGGATGTAGACACGGGGCAGGAGCCCGTGGAGTCTATGTAGACGGCAACCAAGCCGTCAAGAAACAGGCAGGCCCAGAAAGGCTGGTCACGTTCGCTAATACATCTCAACGGTATCGCCACATCCACACTGCGAATGGTGGAGAGAGGAGTTTAGTTGACACGCACACTCACCTATCCCCAAACCATCCCAAAGAGATCCACACCATGCAACCCACGATCTTCCAGTCAGGGGTGTCGCGCCGTTACACGAAAACCAATGGGACTTGAACTTTCCAATGGTATTAATAAATCAACCCTATTCTAAGGCTATCCAGTTCACCAATACGTAGATGAGTTGCGACGAATGTCGCAACGAAGGTTAATTTATTACGTAAATTACAGTAAAAGCATAAATTACAATTACTATATATATAGAGCTATAGGACAGGTCGGAGGACAGATGATTACCAAACGAATAGTAACTTCTTTCGTATCATCATTTTTACAGTCGTAAAACAAATACTAATAGATCGGGCAGTCATTTAGTAATTAATTTCGATGTTATAATAAAGCTATAATGGGAGCGTGTCTGGCAGATCCGTGCTTCGTATGTGTAGTTCCAGAAGTGCAGCGGCTATGTCGT